CGATCCCTGGTACCAACAAAAACGAAAAACACACCAAAAAAAACAAAAAAAACCAAAAAAACAAATGAGGTTTTCCTAACATTGTATACTTTCATTGTTTATTATTACTATATATAAAGGCTGTCGATTTATGTTCATTTTGTATCATTAAGAGTTTCCAGACACAATAATCAAACCATCTCCAATCTAAGTTTTACTTTTGTTCACCCATTCTTAAGCCTCTAATTAAATTCTCACATCCATAATATTTAACAACAGTAGAAATAATCGACATCCTTTTTTAGTTCATCTTAGGAGAAATACCTCTGATATTTCTCTGTAAAATAAGATACTAGCTTTGGACTAAGGTATATACATTCCAAGTAATATTCTTCTCTTTCCCATTTATTTATTTATTTATATACTTATTCAGATTTCTCATTGAATTCTCTGTCAGACTCCCTGGTACCGAGGACTACACATGTGTACAAATAATTAAACTATATTCTTAATTTTTAAAGATGGGTGCTGGGGATTTAGCTCAGGAGCATAATTGAGTTCGATCCCCAGATAAAAAATAGAAATTAAAGATAGGGCTGTGTTTTGGTTTTTCTGTTTTTTGTTGCTGTTTTGAAATTTTTTCAGACATGGTCTCGGGACATAGTTCAGGCTGGCCTTCAACTTGAGGCAATCCTCCTGCCTCAGCCTTCCAAGTGGTAGGACTACAGGTATATACCACACCTTGCCCAGCCTGTGGGCCTTTCTTAATATAAAATGCATACATCATGACAAAAACCAACATCATGCTTGAAAGTGAAATTTAGAAGTATTTCCATCAAAGACAGGAAGTGGCCAAGGATTCCCAAAATTAGTAAGTATGTCTTTAAAAATAAATGCTAATGAATTAAGTTTACTGAAGCAAAGATATCAGTATTAGAAAGGAAGAACCATCACCATTTGCAGATGACACATCAGATGTCTGAAATACCCCTAAAAATGAAATAAAACTCTTATAAACAATGAAAGAATTCAGTAAGGTACTAAGTATCTCAGAGCTTTCTTTGAAACGTACATTGGGATTTTATTAGGACTGGCCTCATGAACAGACACCACGCAGGTGAGATGTGCTCTATTTTACAGAATGTTGGTCCAGCAACTTTGAATTAACTTGTTCGTAACTGAAAATAATCAGGTTTTACAGAACTAAATGGTTTACAAGAACTAAATTCAAAGGAGGTTATATTAAAAATCAAACAAAACAAAACCCAAAAACAACATGTTACAGCTTGTGTCTGTCTGGATGTTCCCCCATGGATTCATGTGGTCATAGGTAGGGCTTTTTCAGAGGTGGCTAGATCTAGAGTGTGTGATGCTGCGATTGATTCATGGTGCAATGGTAGGCTGAAGGGGATCCTGGAGTGCTGCCTGCCCTTAGTAGCCTGAATGAGATATAAGGGATAGAAAGAGCTGTGGTTGTCCCTTGTTGCTTTGCTACCTTCTGTCTACCATGAACTGTTTCTTCTCTGTGATGGCTTCTGCTTTGGAGCCAGCTGATTATAGACTGAAACCTCTACATCCTGTAAGTAAATAAGCCTTTCTGCTCCTTTATCTTTGCATGTCAGGTATTTTGTCTCAGCAATGGGAAAAGTAACTAAAATAAGCTTCAATCAGTTAATTTTCAAAGAAAATCATAAATGTCAAAAACATATATGTTTAAATAAATGTATACATTTAAATTCTGACCGGGCATGGCAGCACACACCTGTAACCCTAGCACTGGAGAGGCAGAAGCAGTTTGCTGTACAAACTATGCTATGAGTTCGAGGAAGCCTGGGTTACGTAAGTGAGTTCAAGGCCAGCCCATAGTACATACAGAGACCCTGTCTCGCCAGGTGTGGTGGCTCACACTTATAATCCCAGCACTTGGGAAGCTGAGGCAGGAGAATCATTGCAAATTCAAGACCAGCTTGAGTTACAAAGTGAGCCCAAGGCCAGCCTGAACTGTCTCAAAAAAAATTTTTTTATCTTAAATTCTGGTATACATTCTTATAGCCACATATGAAGTGACATAAGAGTAAATGTATTATCTTTATTTTATAATTACCTTCTATTAGTAAGACTAGCCTAATAGGTTACTACATAGACACTATTATTAATAAAGCATTATGATATAGCAGAGTACTGTTGGACAGCTAATAACCTTAGCTCCTTTCAGAGAGAAATTTAAGGCAGTAAATCTGTTCTGATAATTTTAATTTTTAACATAGAAAGTGACTGTTTCTTACTAACTATTCAAATAGTATCTCTCATGTTCTCTTAATATCAAATCAAAATATAGACATTAATAATCTAGTGTATTGTCCTATCATACCATACTTCCAACACTGTTTGGAAAGAAACACAGTGAGTTACTGTTTGGAAACAAAAACAGTAAGTTAACAAGTGCTTCACAGAGCATGTATAATATAATGGCCTTCTTGAGAAACCAGTGAGGTCCGGGATATAGCTCAGTGGCATAAGCACTTGCCTGACAAGCACAAGGTCCCAATACCTAAGGAATAAAAAGGAAGGAGAAAGGAAGGACATACGGACGGATGCAGTGAGATGTGTAATACTAATACATCTGCAGTAAGCTTTAAATTGCCTATGTTACCACTACACCTATAGTTTTGGTACTTAAAGACTCCTCAGCCCCAAAATTTGCTGTACAAACCACACAGTCATTGCTACCTAATATTAAACTATGTTGTTAAAACAGAAGTAAGACAACCCCTGAAGAAAAAAAGGGTATGGCAACTCAGGGTGGACATGATGGAAAGTCTCTAAACAGCTGGTAATGCTTGTTCTAAAGACTTCATGGGTGTGGTTCAACTTTGTGATAATTCACACTTAAGATCTGCTCACTTTTCTATATAAGCTATACTTCAATCAAAATACCTTTAAAAAAATTCAGCGGAAAATCAAAACTACATGAAAGATCTTTTTTTTTTTTTTTTTTTTTTTGGTCTTTTTCCTTTTTATCGGTACGGGGAATCGAACTCATGACTGCCTGCTTACAAGGCAGGTGCTTATGCCACTGAGCTAAATCCCCAGCCCCCATGAAAGATCTTTTATATCTCCCATAAAATACAATTTCTGTGGAAGCACACTGTTATACTAGGGACTTCTTTTTTTGGGGGGGGATGTCTTTCTTATTTTCTCTTGGGGGTACTTTATTATTAAAGACAAAAACTAACCTTTTAACCCTTCAATCATTCAACCTGGTGACCTCAATATTTCAAGTTTTTCCAGTATATTAAAGAACAGGACACTCAGTTACTCTACATAAACTGCCGCATTTGTTTTACTTTTTTCTCATTTTCTTGCTCTTGGCTGAACCTTTAAAGTTTAATGATCTTACTGAGTTTAATGTGGATATAATACAACTAATCTGCATAAACTAGAGTAGAAAATGAAACAATTCCATCTTACAAAGTGACATCATCTCCATCCAAGTGTTAAAAGAATGTCAATCTACTAAAAAGAACTCAAATTCCCAAACTGAACTCCCTTTTTCCCTAAGGCTTTCTCATGGATTTCTCTGTAGCAGTAAAATTCTTCCAAGTGGACACATCAGAAACACTACTGGCTTGATTCTCTGCAGGATCTAGCCCAATACATATGATACAGTGTCCTCCTCTGGGTAGTTTTCTCCCTACCATTATGTAACTCTCCTCACAATTCTTCTATTGCTTTACTTAAATCACTGAAAAAAGCTCCATTAACACTAGTTAATGTTACTTCTCTACTTCTTTTTCTTTTTTGAAATTCTGTATCATTTCTATCCTTTTCTGTTTTGCTTTTTAAAATAAAAAAATTTTAAAAGCCTCTCTAAAAGTTAAAAAAAAAGCAAGAAAAAAAGGAAAGAAAGAAAAAAGCTCTATTTCCTGCTTTTCTCCCACTCCAATTAATCTTTACTATGATCAGATTAATCTTCTTGAAGGACATGTAATTATGTCACAACTGTTCAGAAAATATTCAATGATCTTGTCTTTTGAATGGATCCCAAACCTGGCTTTAAATTTCTATACAGAGTCTTATGAACAACCACAATATTAGTTCTTGTTCTCTTACCTTTTCTTTGCCAACACCAAAATTATCTCACTGAAGGTTACTAACAATCATGAATAAACAACATCCCTAACACACACAAATATTCAAGTCAGCATAATTTCTGAACAAAGAATAACACTGATTGTCATTTGAAAAACACTGAGTTTTAGTCAAACTAGAATATTATGCCTTTGAATGTAAATTTAAATTGAGTTCTTAAATTCCAAAGACTGAAAGGAACTAGTAGAAATACTGTTGTTATATTTATACCGAGGCCAAGCCTCACCCCAAACTGATTCTTATTTTTCTTACTAAAGCACATGCAGATACATCCTTCATGTAAAGGAAAACACATGATATAAGCTATAATGTATAACCATCTATTTTTAATGACAGCTTTATACAATATAAAAGGCTGAGGTCATTTTACCAAGTAACAGTATTTTTCTCATGACATGATAAAGTGAAAATTTTTCCCATAACAAGAATTATTCCTAGGAATAATGAATCAGCAGTGACTAACTCAGTGATTGTAGTCACTTTACAGAACATAACTTCACAAAGCAATGAGAATCAGCGGTGTGTCAAATAGCCTATTGGTACATGAAAGTCAGTACAATGGTTAATTTAGATATGTCTGAAAGAAAAGAGACTGATTAAAAACTAAGTACTGAGCAGTAAAAGTAGTAAAATCTAGAGCAGGGAGAGCAAATATGTTTTATGACACACACCAGTTCTGAAGAACAAACGAATCTGAATGAGGTTCCTTGAGAGCTACACTTTTGCTCATAGGAAAAAAGGGTTATAACCATTAATACTGTTGCTCAGAAATGTGACAAAGGATAGTGTCATTATGTCATGTATTTGCCATTCCTGGATTATTGTACTTCAAATAACCCCATAAAATATACAATTATAAAATTACTTACAGCTTCAACAGAGTTACATTCTCGTCTTGTTTCTAAATAACGTAATGCTCGTTTTTCTTCTTCTTTTAATTTAGCATCTGCCTGTCCAGAAATGAAACAGCAATCATTTTAAGAATAGCAAGCGGATAGCTCAAATTATCAAATGAACTAAGTTCTGACTTACATATTTCATATAATTCTGTACACCATTTTGCTGTAAATATGAGGGTGCCTGAGTTCTATAAAATCTCTCTGTTGAATCCAAATATGCCTTCTCAAAATTGTCCCTATAAATCTGAAGCTTATCTTCAGGATTAGAACAAAGGTTAACTGAAAAACAAAACAGAACTTTAATTATGATCTCAGTTAGTATTTTAAATATAATAAATGAAAACGAAATACTGAGGAATCATTATGTACAAGATGGCAATGGTTACAAGATATAACAACGTAAGACAAAAATCTCCACAAAAAACTTAAATGGTAATAGCATTAAGCAACAAAGTAACAAATAAATACTGTAATTATAATAATATAACTATTTTTTACAGAAAAGTGGCTGACTTCTAAACTGATGATTAAGAAACTATTGACGGGGCTGGGGATTTAGCTCAGCGGCATAAACGCCTGCCTTGCAAGCAGGCAGTCGTGAGTTCGATCCCTGGTACCGATAAAAATGAAAAAGATCAAAAAAAAAGAAACTATTCACAAGTTGGGTATAGTGGTGCATGCCTATAATTACATTACTTTGGAGACTAAGGGAGAACTGCTGTAAGTTCAAGACCAGCCTAAGTTACGTAATGAGTTCAAGGCCAGCTAGAACTGCATAGTGAGATGCTATGTCCACCTCCCAAGAAAAAAACAACCCATTCACAGACAAGATGGAACTTAAACTGAATTCTTTTTTTTTTTGTCTTTTTCCTTTTTATCGGTACTGGGGATCGAACTCACGGCACCTGCTTGCAAGGCCGGACATTTATGCCGCTGAACTAAATCCCTAGCCCCTTTAAACTGAATCTTAAGAAATAAGCATTTGCACAAACAGCAAGGTAAGTAAATACTTAGAAAATATGCTACAATGACTATGCTGACTAAGTGCATTATAAACTTAACAGAAAATAAGGTAGAATAATAAATAAAGAATGCTATGGAAAGTTTAAATTTCAGTAAGTATTCTAAATTTAGCACAGGTATATAATTAAAGGTGCAAGCAGGGAAAAGAACCTAATAAAATTCTACCTAAAAATTAATCTGGTGAATAGTATATTGGATCTCTCAGCAACAAGATTACTATAAAAGTAATTCTTCAAAAGCCTAACTATAGAATTAAAAATGTCTACATTGGTGGCAAACAAATAAAAGGATAAATTTCAGGAACAGTAATGATTTGATAAAAAGACATATGGCAATGGAGAAAATCCATTCGATAATATTCTAAAGGTTCATTGGTCCAACAAATACTTACTGAAAATGATTCTGTGCCAGGTAGTCCTATGTTAGTAAAGATGAAGTGCCAACAAGTTACTTAAAAGCCTTAATGCAAAAAGATACTGGCACTATGAACTACTCAGAGGGGTTAACCTAGTCTGGGAATTAAAAAAAGCCTCCATAAACCAGACATGGTAGCACATCCCTATAATCCCTGCACTTGAGAGGCTGAGACGGATGATTGCTACAAACTTAGGGCCACACAGCAATTTCAACACTTCCATGTACTACAAAGAGAGAGACCCTGTCTCAAAAAATCCCTCACACAAAACAAAACGAAACGAAACGAAACGAAAGGCCTCCACAAGGAAATAAAGGATAAGAATAAATTAACAGAGAAGAGGAAGTCAGGCATGGTGGCACACTCCCGTAATCTCAGCACTCAGAAGACTGAGTCAGGAAGATCATTTCTAGTTTGAGACCAGTCAAGAGTACAACATGAGCCTGAGACCACCCTGAACTGTGTAGCAAGACCCTGGCTCAAAAAAAAAAAGAACAAGAGGAGGAGGAGAAAGAAGAATGTCCTATATCAAAGGAAACAATGTATGTGGCTGAAAGTATGAATTAAGAATACAAATGTCAAAAAAAGAAGGTATATAGGGAAGTAACTCTCTCTGGAAACAAACATAAAACAAGGTACCTTTTATAAGTTGTAGATTCAAATTTATATTTCTTTAATTTAGGTCACCAAAAAGATTAGCCAAGATATTAGCATTATGGAGGAACTCTGACCACATGGATAATGATGTCTGTCGATTTCTTTGAAGTATAATTAATACTATTTGTATACTCTTTAAAAAGAAAAGGATCTGGTGCCAAAAAGAAGTATGACTTTACATGCTTTAATAAATGTCAGTGACAGAAAGATAGCTGTCCTAAACTTTCCCATGAAAAGGTAGTTATGACTGTAAAAGTTCAAACATACCATAGGATTCTCTCACTCCAATGACCAGCTGAGAATCAAAAGCTTCTCCTAATCTTTCAGCATGTACCAGCTTCATTGCACTATCTTGTAGTCTGTTTTTAATATTTGAAAAAATTGATTCATTCCATGTATCAAGCATGAGCTAGGAAAACAAGAGCAAAGTATGTCATCATTTTAAAATTTTTAACGTACCAAGTACACACAGACATGCACATGTGTGCACATGGCATACAAGCAAATTTTTTTGTTTGTTTGTTTTTTTGTCTTTTTCCTTTTTATCGGTACCGGGGATCAAACTCACGACTGCCTGCTTGCAAGGCAGGTGCTTATGCCGCTGAACTCAATCTCCAGCCCCATATAAGCAAATTTTAGCAGATACTACAAAACAAAATCAAACTCTTGGGTCTGTATTGCCTGACTACTTTGGAAAGTAGTATATTTAGCATAACAATAAAAACAGACATAACTGGGTTTGAATCTCAACTCCATTATTTGTTTACCCACTTCTCTACGCATAAAAAAGGAAAATTTCCAGCAGCAGTTAAAAATAATGATAAATAATAACAATGATGATAATACCTAGAAAATATTGCTTCTTCCATAGTTCCAAGATGGATTTCATAGATATTGGTGTGTTTGGAATATTCACATGCATATGCTTATACTGACACTTAAAATGTAGAACATCTATTTGATACTGCTGAGTATATATATTTTAGGGTTCCCACGTAACTTTCTTGGATATAAGAGCAATAGCAAAACTAGTAACAGCTGCAGTAGCAAAAATAACACGGGTTAACACTTTTATAACATTCACCATGTACCTGGGGCTCATCTATGTATTTTTTCACATAAACATACTTAATCCTCACACTTGACAAATGATTGCTACAAATTCAAGGCAAGCCTGCAATACAAAATGAAACCCTGTCCCTGAGGAGGAGGAGGAGGAAGTAGAAGAGGAGAAAAGAAGAAAGCAGATGAGGAAGAAGAGGAGGGGAAGAAGATGGCAACAACGATGCAAGGGGAAAAAAAAGATGGAGAAGACCAGGCATGGTGGCATACACCTGTAATCCCAGCATTCGAGAGGCTGAATGAAGCAGGAGGATCCTTGCAAGTTCAAGGCCAGCTTAAAAGCAAGACCTTGTCTCAAAAAACAGAAACAAAAACAAAAACAAAACAAAACATGGAGACTTGAAGCTAAATATAAATGAAAGAAAAATATTATACAATAATATGCAGTTAGAGCCAAAAAAGAATTTATATATGAAGCAGAAAAACCCACTTAAAACTCTAAATTATTTTGAAAATGCCTTCAAACAACCATTGTTTTGAAAAATATTAGATAAACAATGGGGAAAATCAACTTACCTTTCGCACAATACTATCTTCCACATTTGTTTTTTTATTGCTGCCCTGTTTACCCATTAAAGTAATCTCTAGTTGACAAAAGGGTTTTGGTAAAATATCACACTGTGTAAAGAATTTCCGCCATTCAACAATATATGCTTTTAGCAAAGCTGTGTCATCTTGATGGCTCAACACTCGCTGTAAAAAAAAAAAAAAAAAGATTTACACTAACTTAAATAAAAGTGTTTTCAAAAATAAGAACTAACCATATTCATGCCATAATTTTTAAATATTTTAGTTACTGTACAAACTGTATTGTGTCCAAGAGCAATTAAAACATGTTCCCAAATACCTTGTACATGTCCAAAGCAGCATTATTAAAAATAACAAAAGGAGAAACAAACTAAATGTCCATCAACTTATGAATGGATAAACGTGTAGTATAGCCACACTATGAAATAATATTCAGGTCCTAAAAGTAACAAAATATTGATAAATGCTACGACATACGTCTTTAAAATAGTAATTCAGATGAAAGAAACCAGTCACAAAAGGTCACATTTATACAGTCCCATTTTATAAGAAATGTCAAAAATAGGGAAATTCACCAAGTATGATGGCAAACCCAGAGGACGGCTGCAAGTCTGCAGGCAGCCTAGGCTACATAATGTGTGAGGCCAGCCCAAACTACATAGCAGACAGAGAGGAGGAGAAGGAGAGGAGAAGAGGGAGGGAACGAGGGGAAGAAAGGGAGAGTGGGAGAGAGGGAGAGGGAGAGACAGAGAGTTGGAGAGAGATTCACAGAGGCCTAAATAGATTCCTGACTTAGAGTTGTCAGAAATTAGGAGGAGGGCAGGGGATACAACTCAGTGGCATAAGAGTCTCCCAGGCAAGCATGAGGTCATGAGTTTGATCCCTAGTATCCACCCCCCGCCAAAAAAAAAAAAAAAGGAAAGGTAATAGGGAGGGACTGCTAACAGGTACTGTATCGGGTTTCTTTTTAGCATGATGGAAATATTCTAGAATTAGTAAGTGATGGTTATACAACTGTGAGTATTAAACTCACTGAATCATATTTTAAAATGTTATTTTTGATGGTGCTGGGGACTAAACCCATAGACTCACACATATGAGGTAATATATCTCAAGTTTTTAAGATGGTGTAATTTGTTTGTCTACTGCTAATATTCTAGGCTGGCTTTGTGATTTGCTCTGTCCAACAGAATGTCACAGATGTAAAGCACAATTCCCAAGTCTATAGGTCTCACAGATTCACCTTAGGGATTGCTTTGCTTGTGAATGAAAAATCATGTGGTTGAAGTATTTAACATCAGAAGGCTACTGGGCTGCTCACCACCTTGTCCACACAGAGTCACAGCCAACTACAGCCATGTTAATAAGCTCAGGTGACATCAGCTGAGCACAGCCTTAAATTGCTAAACCACAGAATTACGAACAAATTTAATAGTTATAGTGGGCTGAAGAAGCACTTCATGGTAGATTGCTTGCCTCGCATGTGCAAAACCATGAATTCAATTCCCAGAATGGAAGAAACATATGTTATGTTGAAGTAAAAGTAAATCCAATTCCTAAACTTTCCAAGCACTGTGTGTTTTTCTGAGGTGAGAAGCTTTATTACAGAGTGCTCGGGACAGCCAGGTGATCCTCCCGCTGCAGCCTCCTGAGCGCTGGTGCCCTGTGTGTCTATTCTAACGTCCCTTTTCTTACTTACATGTCTATTTCACTGCATTGCACTGCACTACATTGCTGGCATAGAATGCACAGGCTCATGTGTGCTAAGCACATGTTCTACCATTGAAGTAAACCCCCAACTTCCTTTTTGTCATTTTAAATAATGAACGCCTGTGTGTATCACTGTCCCCATTTGTGAGATCTGGTTCTTCCTATAAAGATAAGTGTAATTAATAATGTTCCTAAAAAAGTTCAAATGAATATTGCTTAATAATGACTCAATAGGAACAGTAATAGTATGATTCACAAAGCTGAACTGTCTTAAGAACTAAAAAATCCTTTAAAACTATACACCCACGTGGCACACTGTTACTCCTACAGTTTAACTGCTCTGAATCGGTAGCACTTATCCCATCTTCAGGTTTTCGCTGAGGTCTACATTCATGACTTTGCTAGGTCATGTTTCAAACTGTTACATATATTTCATTTGCTAGTGTTGAATGTATTTTTTAGCATCCGTTAATATTTAAGATGACTCTTTCTCAGCCTATTTTCGTACAGAATAAAACTCTTTATCAACTTGAAATAAACATAACAGATAACCTCACATTTTTCAATGTAAGAAGAAAATGTATTTCTAAATTAATTCTACAATAGTTTTAATTGTGATACTTAAACAATATGCTAAGTTTGAAGACAGGATTTATTCTCATTAAAATATAATTTCTTTAAAAAGCAATAATTTTTTAAAATTTACTTTTTAAGACATTATCAATAAAATAATGTTGTAACACTAATATTGCATCATTCTTATTCCATCAGGGCAGTGGCTATAAGTAAAATTAAATGCTAATCATATACTGATTTCAGTATTTTCCTTTAGGTTCTATATAAAGAAAAAAACTCATTTTAAAGGTTTTCAACTGCTAAGCAGCTAATTCCATTTAACTTTTTATTTATTTTTTTTTTAATGCTACCTGGAATTGAACCTATGGTGGTAAGCTATAACCCAGTCTTTTCTTAAAATTTTTATTTTGGGACACAGTCTCATCCCAGCCTGGCCTTAGATGTGTGATCTTTTTCACTGACAGGAAAATTCACCTAGAATAGCCGGGTGTGGTAGTGCATACCTATAATCCCAGTAATGGGGAGGCTGAGGCAGGATCATTGCAAATTTGAGACCAGCCTGGTGAGCTCAAGGGCAGCCTGAACTGCATAGTGAAACCCTATCTCAAAAAGACCAAAAAACAAAACAAAGCCAATTAACTAGAGAATAAGAAATCCTAGCCCTCTAGTTTTCTACTTCATGATACAGAAAGGAAATGTATTGCCCTTCTCAAAATGGCATAGAAATCATTCAGGAGTGATGTCATAGTTGTTCTTGATATTCAATGTGCCCAAAAGACAAAGGTACATGAACATAAGAAAATAATGCTGGCCTAATTGACTCAATGCCTATATGAGCTGTGTCTTTAATAAAAGTAAAAATTTATACAATAAAAATCAATACAAGAGTGATTTCAGTTCAGCAGCAGCAATACAAAGGACAATCTCAGGGTTTTACAATTAGAGAAGTATCTGAAATTGAAGAAAATAACTGCCGCTCAACAAGAAATATCTGTCACAAGAGAAAAAAAAGATAGATATATGTTGATTGACCTGAGACAAAAGATTACAGTAGTACAGACTTTTAAAATTATATTACAGCATTTTTACTGAGGATAATGACAGCTTATCTTGACACAAATAGCAACACTGTGGAGGGAAACATCCAACAACTGACAATCATTTTATTTAAAAATTTAACAAATGTGATGTGTCCAAAGTAAACATAGTATTTAAAATTAGTTCACAAAGCTCTACCTTCAAAACTGTAAAATCTATTTTCTGAAGAGTCTAAAAACATCTAAGGCTAAGAGTATAGCTTAGTGATGGAGAACATGTTCTAGCACATGCAGAGGCCTGTATCCAATCCCCAGCACCAAAAAAAAAGAATAACAGTAATAATTCAAAATAAAGACACAGAACTTACTGCCTGTGCTTGCTTAATAAATTCAAGAATATCTTCTTTTAAAGCCTGATGAATTTTTGCTGGGCCTTTATCATCCCAGAGACAGACTGCATGAACATCTCTGTAAAAATAAAGTAGGTAAACAAACATTAATAATGAACCAAAAACAGACACAAAATTTATCTTAAGTTCTCTACTTGTAATTTTCATAGATAACAGTAGACCAAACTAATAGTGCCTAAATTCATTCACAGGATCCATGTACCCTTTATAAATTGTCACACATACACGTTTCAATTTTTAATTTCTTTTGTAGTTGTTTTCCTTAATCTCTGCTACTTACTATATAAAACTTCATAATAAAAGGATGTCTCCATCTCATCTCACCTGCCCTAATTTAACTGTTCTTAAAATTTTCTAATGCAAAAACAAATATAAATCATTTTAATTTCTTAACACAGAGATGTAAATGGTTTTCTTTTAAAAGAAAATTATAAATCTGATTATGGCAAATCACTTATCCTTCTCTTTGCATCTGCTACTCAATGATAATTGTTTCCTTTGTTTTAACAAAGCACAAAGACAAAAGTCTCATAAACTTACACATAAGAACCATGAACTGCCAAACATGGTGTCACACATCTGTAATCCCAGCACTTGAGAAGCTGAGACAAGAGAATCGTCATGAGTTTGAGGTCAGTCTGGGTTACATAGTTCAAACCAGTCTAGACTACATAGCAAGACCATCTTAAAAAAAAATAAATAATAAGCCAGACATGGTGGAATATACCTGTTATCCCAGCACTCAGGAGGCCAAAGCCTCAAACACTGCGAGTCCTAGGCCAGAGTGGGCTACAAAGTGAGTTTAAGGTCAGCCTGAACTGCAGAATGAGACTGTTATCTCCAAAAAATACATACATACATACATACATACATACATACATACATACAACAAGGCCAGCACTACATACAAGGTCAGCACAACAACAACAAGGCCAGCTTGGACTACGGTGTTTTTAAAAAACAAACAAAAAAACCCTACACACACATAAACACACACACACACACACACACACACACACACACACGCACACACAGACACACACATCTATTTTACCAAAGAGTAAACTACCTGGCTATTAACATATAATTCTGGAGATGTTTTTACTTCTATTTTTTTTTTTTTTAATGGCAGAAGCTCTGTCATCCATAAGTCCCTGAAGAACATGGGTTTTGTTGTTGTTGTTGTTGTTGTTGTTGTTGTTGTTGTTGTTGTTTGTTTGTTTTAGACAAGGTCTAATTATGTATCCCAGGCTGGCCTTAAACTCATTATGTAGCTCAGGCTGGCCCCAAACTCAGAGATCTCCTTCCTTGAGTGCTGGCAGAACAAGTATCTGTCACTACACCTGGTTTGAGGAACACTTTCTGAATAAGACCTTATCCTTTTAAGTTTCCCTGAGCTACAACTTGGTAATTAAGAGTTAACTTTCTATACATGCACTAGTATTAAATATATTTTTATAATGTATCTGGCATCTAAATGTGTCTTTAGTTTTAAAATATCTATACACATCACCAATACCAGAGTCAAAGTCACCATCACTCTTATTTGGTTTGCCAAAAGAAACTTCAGCCAACATGCACTGACTGCTTACTGTGTGTTGGGCACATCACACTGACTTGTGTGACAGTTTAAGCTTCCAAAGGCAGATGGGATGAGAAACGTGATAGACTGAGGGAATGACTGAGAGAGAAAATGGGAAATGAGCTACAGAAATCTGGGTGAGTTGTAAGTTCATACAAAGTAGGTCTGATCCCTGCAGGGGAGAGAAAGAAGGCTGGATATTAAGAGTCACACACTGCAGTACAATCCTAATAAAGTCTTAATTTTGATAAAGCTGTTCAAGAGCTCTGAAGCCCAAGTCCCCAATACAGGAATTGTGTGCCTCTCCAAAACACAGCTACCTTAGTTTTCCTGTCTTATTCATGTCAAAAGTTTCTTGAGTTCAAATGTTCAAATGTTACTTGAGTCAAATAAGGCAAAGGTGTGTTGACAGGAATGAGATTGGATGGCTCCCTGAAAATCTTACCTAAGATTCAAACTATGTGCATGTGTGTTATGGTGGGGCTTGAAATGAACCCAGGGTCTCAAGTGCACTAAGCAAGTGCTGTATCACTAACACCTCCAGCCCTTTTTGTTATTGAGGCAGAGTCTCACTACATGGCCAGGCTGACCTTGAACCTGTGATCATTCTCCTGCCTTAGGCTCTGGAGTAGCTATGACCATAGGCATGCACCAATATGCCTAGTAGATTAACACAGTCCATAACACTGCATACCTGGATGTCCACTAACTGGAGTCTATAAGGCAGAAGGCTAGAGCTAATAAACACTGCATAACATTTCTCCCCATCTCTCCTTTTGTTTATTGTGTTATTAGGGATTAAACTCAGGAGGGCCTCATACATGCTAGGAAAGCACTCTCCCAACTGAGATACATGGTCAGTCCCTGTCCCTCTTTTCTGATGTTTTATTATTTTTTTTTTAAGACAAGGTCTTGCTGTGTAGTCCAAGACGGCTACACACACTCCTCCTGCTTCAGCCTCCCAAGTGCTGGATCACAGGTAGGTGCCACCATGTCATTCTCCCCACTCTTTTCCTAAATTTTATTTTGAGACAGGGTCTTGCTCAACTGTCCAAATTGACCTGAACTTTGCAGTTCTCTTGCCTCAGCCTCCTTCCTCTATGTGCCACCACATCCAGCCAGAACAATCTCTTATACTATCCAAAATACTAGTAACCTGTCAACTGAGAATGACACAGATAATGGGAAAAGGGGGAGACATGTCAAATAATCAATATAGCTAATATTAGTATATTACTTAGTACTTCAGATTATAAAAGATACAAGGCAACCCAAATTTTAACAATTATTTTGGTCAAAACAGGTCAGGCATAGGAACACATGATTGTAATCCTAGCTACTTGGGAGGCTGACACAAATGGATCACAAGTTCAAGCCCAGCCTGGGCAACTCAAAAGACTCAGTCTCAAAATAAATTAATTAATTAAGTTAAATTTAGAAAGGTTTTAATTACTGTAAAGTCTTGTAACTTTTGTGATGCCATGATAAGATAAATAGGAAGCCTTTTACCTAGAAGAAATGCATATTTGTACACTTCAAAGGACAAAAGTGTGCTGGATACGCCAAGGAAATTAAGGATTCTTTAAAACAATGTACTGATGTCACCAACTATAACAGGTAGAAGGTTACTGATATTTCTGCTTAGTGTATATGAAGCAGATTAACACACTACACTACTTTTCCAAATCAAGAGTACTCAAAGAACACTATTCTACATGATATATCAACAAAAACTAAACAATTACAAATCTGTCACATTCAACATTTATGCAAAAGACAGTTTATCCAAATATATGTATCTATTAATGCTTCAAATTAAGTGCCATCAGGTATTAATACTATATATGCATCTATTAATGCATATAAATATGTCAATGCTATAAATATATCTATATTATGCTATCTAATAAAAGGCTTTGGTTATTTCTTAAATTTTAATTCCTCAAAGGACAGACTTATGAGTATTAATTAATTAATATTATGCAACAAGCTCTTATTATTTAAGAAATCAGAGTATTTTGCTAGGTACAGTGGCACATACCTATAATCCCACAACTCTGGAGGCTGAGGCAAGAGGATCACCACTAATTCAAGGCCTGCACACAGTGAGTTCCAGGCCAGCCTGAACTACATAGTAGGACCCTATCTAAAAAAAAAAATTAATTGAAGTATTTTGTTATGTGACAGTGAAGAGGAATACAACACTTTGGTGGGCACAGTTGTATAGTCATACATCTAAAACTCACTGGTAATTTTACTAGTGTACAGAAAAAGATTAATATAGCACGTTTGAGACCACTCTCTTTAGACCTATCTGCAAGGCTGTCACTTGCTGGCTTCCATGAACTTGAATTTTGGGATAGCTTCTGCCATTCCTTGATAAGAACAGCTCACTGTGCCTAAACTTTACACAAAGAATGGGGCTTATTTAGAACACTTTCTTTCCTCCTTTTCCTTCTGCCACGTAGAGGCTGCTACATGACCAGCCCCAAATAAAAACACTCAGCGTTAAATCTCCAATAAACTTCTCTGGTAGAAAACGTCGCACACATGACTTCACAATTAGCTGCGATAGGAGTTAAGCCCCCTGGAGTGAGTCATCTGGGAGAGGACATTTGGAAGGTTGCACCTGGTTTCCCTTGAACTTTGCCACTTGCACACTTTTCCTTTGGTGATTTTGCATGCGTTCTTCAATGCAACAAATCACAATCATCAATACAACTATATGGTGAGTCCTATGTGACTTCATGGCAATTACTGAACTTGAGGTCACCTTGAAAGTATCACACATCGCATCAGAAATTGAACTCTCAAGCTGGGTGCGGTGGTGCATTCCGGTAATCTCAGTACTCGGGAGTCTGAGGCAGGAGAATTGTTTGCAAGTTTGAGACCAGCCTGGGATACAAAGTTAGCCCAAGGCCAGCCTGAACTGCATAGCAAGACCCTGTCTCCAAAAGACAAAAAAAAAAATGTTGGACTCACAAGGCAAGTGAAAGAACAGAATGACAAATACTTGCTGCTTTGGGTGGCTATGAAACAATCATGGCATGGAATAGCAGCTGTTTCTGTTGTGAGAAGTAAAAGTTACCTATGAAATCTGAGAATGACAGATCTACCAGAGCTGGTTCTCTCAATCTCCTGGCTGCTTTTGATCATATTAAATAACTAAAGTAATGTGGGGAAGTCTAAGAGATGTCTTTGTTTTTTTTATTTTTATTTTTATTTTTATTTATTTTTTGTCTTTTTGAGACAGGATCTTGCTATGTAGTTCAGCCTGGCCTTGAGCTCATTTTATAGCCTAGGCTGGTCTTGAACTCCCAACTACATTATAGGCGTGAGCCATCATGCCTGGCAGTTTTTTATTTCTTGATAGAAAAAGAAAAGGGTCTTTGGGGGGGGGGGTGTTTGTTTTCTTTTCTTTTCTTTTTTTTTTCTTTTTTTTTTTTTTGAGGCAGGGTTTCACTATATAATTCAGG